CTATTTTTTTCTTTAAAAGCACCGCTTTAGTTCTATTTAAACAAAATACCAATAAGCTTTTTCGGGAACTTGGATATAAGAAAAATATGTTTCAACTGAAATATTTGATAATCGGATATAGAATACATAATAGAAAATACTTCGAGATAAATTACCTCATTACAATTATAGGATTTATATTTTCTAAAAGTTACTATATCAGTGATAGAAAGAAAGAAAATGTCAACATCAGGAATGTATTCCGGAGTGACATAAACACAGCAATGTCTATCTTACAGTCCCAACACAAGGAAAGTCCACGAATAATCTATGACACACACAGACTTCTGTCACAGGGAGTTGCAGTATAAAGAAACAACGTTTGTTACAATGAAAATGCTCAATGCACAGGTACATTGTATATAAAGATTAATTGGCCACTAGCTTTGCTACATTTTCTTGTTATAAAATGTTACTAGTGAAATATTATGAATTCTTCATTTGATAAAAACATATCTTTAATGCTGTGAAAATAAACCAAACATTATATCTTCACAAGTAAAAACGTCACTTTTAGTACATTATGTATTGTCCAATCTGAATGATACAATATATTCTCTGCGTGGATTTCCAGTCTCATGTTTAGTCGATGAATCAGAAAAGTGGTTGTAATACCTTTTACATAACTGCACAATTAATATCATTTGTGTCTGGAACTCTTACCAGATAATACTAGCAAACGGCAAAATTGCAGTGAAAGCCATTCAAAATGGCGCTCAGTATTGTTGTCAAGCGTGACGTCATTACAACTTGGCGTCAAGAACTAAGCTACTCATTCCTGCGCTTTTCTGATGTAGCAATATTTGCGCCGCGTGACGTGAAAAAAATGTAAGAAAAAAAATGTTTCATAGTATTCTCGTTCAATACGATATATTTATTTCATACAGTTGTGTGACCGCACAACTCACCAAAAATACCGTGCGCACACCGTGCATACATTGTTCACACACCGTCCTCACATCGTCAACACATGGTGCGCACAACTGTGCGATTTAACAATCGTTCGGTCCGTTGTGCGCTTTCTCCGCACAACTGTGCGATTTGGAACAATTTGTTGATCAATATTACGGAATGAAAAGAATACGGAAGGCTCGTATGCAATAATGTACACTGTATATATTACTGTAATTTCTCATCACAATAATTAAGATTATGTACATTTTTACAATGCGTGTTACACAGTGTTACAGTGACCGTTAGACTGTCAAGAATGGGTTTAGCTTCTAGGTAACAGAACAGGTAAATAACAATTTGATGAGTGACCGGAGTTTTACCTGGGCTGTCCCTGACACACAGAGCTAATATGTGATACCGTATGACCGTTATGAAAACACAACTGGGTGTTAAGTATTTATTAACTGCATTCGTTTTGGTCTATGGCTCCCCTTTACCTGGTTTTCCTAATTTTACATGTGTCGATTTAGGTTGTTTAAAAAACACCGAAAACACCGTTTCTAAATTTAAGAAAGTATAGAGAGAAAGATAAGCTTATAGACGTAGCTAGAATAATTATAGACACATACTAAATTATCAAGTTTATGTGTTTAAACACATGCACGAAACCGTATATATTGTTGAGGCATTCCTCAATTTACACCAACCACGATTGTTATCGCACAACATTCACCCATCGTCCGCACACCGCACATCGTGTAACGTTGTGCGATCCCACAACTGTATGCATCAAATGAAAATGTGATAACAACAAAAAAGACAGCGTTGTGACAAGATATGTCTATGAAGGCAGACTCGAGAAGTAATAACTAATATTCAACAGAGAAAAAAATAATCTGGAGGATATAACAGTTTTGTAGATATCTGACATCAATAATTTATTCTGAAGGATGTCACAGTTTTATAGATATCTGATATCAATTAATGTATTCTGAAGGATGTCACAGTTTTGTAGATATCTGATATCAATTGATGTATTTTGAAAGATGTCACAGTTTTGTAGATATCTGGTATCAGTGAATGTATTCTGAAGGATGTCACAGTTTTGTAGATATCTGATATCAATAATGTATTTTGAAAGATGTCACAGTTTTGTAGATATCTGGTATCAGTGAATGTATTCTGAAAGATGTTACAGTTTTGTAGATATCTGATATTAATGAATGTATTCTGAAGGATGTCAGAGTTTTGTAGGTTTCTGACATCAATGAATGTATTCTGCAGGATGTCACAGTTCTGTAGATATATGATATCAATAGACTTATACTATGTAATTTTAATTTGATGTCATAAGGTACTGATATCAAGTCATTCATTCAGTAGGAAGTTATTGGGATATGGTTAATTTGACATTGGTGAACTTATACTATTGAATATAAGATTGGTGTCTTAAGGTAATGACATCAAGGTAATCATTCTGGAGATAATTAGAGAGGTGTGGTTAATTTTACATGAATACACATATACTAGTGAAAATTCTGGAGGATGTTTTAATTTTGTAGATAATCTAACATCAATAAATTCTATACTTTGGAACATAAGATTGATGTTGTAATACTGACATCAATGAATGTATTCTGAATGATGATAATCTGACACAAACATAAACTTATACCAAGGAATATAAGATTGATGTATCAAAGTTATCATTCTGGGAATATTTAGAGAGGTGTGGTTAATTTGACATAAATGCACATGTACTTTGGAATTGTAGATTGATGTTGTTATACTGACAACAAGGTATTCATTCTCGTCAAGTTTTTACCGGTCTTTGGCATCGCCACTCAGTAAGCCTACAAAGATCGGATGACATTTATATAGACATTTATATAGACTGTTAATGTCATGGTCCATGTACTGACGTCATAATTGTACCACTTTGAGGAAGATGTATGTTCTATTAACATATAGGTATTGAATTTTATTGATATGGCATTTAATGTCTATATGAATTTTGCAGTTTAGCACGCTTAGTTCAATACTTAAATGATAGAAGGGCTACGATTGACGCTTAAACCTTAAAGACGGTTGATATTTCATCCACAATAGTCGAAAGAAATATTCGCAAAAATCGCGACCAAAATAAATCTGCTGCACCTATTGCAATATTTGGGATATTTATCTTTCTTTCTTCTTCTAACAACATTTTATTTCCTAGCACCTTGCTTGGTAACACCTCAGTTTTGGCCTAAATGCTGAGCGTTCGCCAAGGTGAGGAAGGCAATGGGTTTTGTCCGTAGGCCGGGACACACCAAAGTCTTTAAAATGGTAGTTGTTATTCCCTGCTTAACGTTCAGCATTTAGGGAAATGGCAACAACTGGTTCACCCGTTGTGAGTATAATGTGACCGGGCGGAATGCTGTGCTTGGTGCCTTCGGCATGGTATTTCAGTGAGATGGCACTTTAAAGTCTGCATCAGATCTGCGGGATCACAAGAAGGTAAGCACACCAACATTACCTGTCTCCTGCATACAAACAAATGCACGCATACACTACACACGCAGAGGCACGTTCTTAAATGTTAATAGGACGTTCAACAAAATTAAACCAAACCAATCCAAACCTTAACGTGCGGTTAAAACTGTACATATGCGTGCTGTGGGACAATTATTGAGTGACAATAGTGCAAAATGTAAGGATATTGAGCGTGAACGGAATATTCTGAACGACAAAATTATTGCCTTTAACAATTTATATAATTACAATAAATATTTTCAAGTATGCAGGATCAGTTTCCTCGTTGTTGTTTGGCTGTCAGTAAGTCATTTTCATAAAAAGGTTCGGTGTCCAGCATCTTTGCTGCATTTTCTTATTTATATATTTTGAACATAGGCTAAATGATGAAAATGTTCAACATTTCTGGTATTAACAGCACATTTTCGCCGTGGATTTGAATTTTCATGCACATGGAATCCTAATGTTTTATAATGAGATGTATTAACGTACAAAATCAGTATGCAGCGTGGAAACTGATAAACCTTTTCTATTGTTCAAAGGGAGATAACTGCTGTACATTATGTATGTAATTTAAAAGGTTTGGTTTGTTTGTATTTTACGTCCTGTTAACAGAGTTAATAGATATGATTATTTCAGGACGTGCCAGTGTTGGTGGTGGAGAAAAGCCGGAATTTCCGGAGAATAACCGCCGACTTACGGCCAGTACCTGGCGTCTGCCCCACGTCTCGAACCCGCGACCCAGTGCTGGAGGGCTTGTGGTAGCAAAATGTTAGACGCCTAACCACTTGGCCCCATACAAATTTAAAAGGACAATTTAGCAAAGATTTTTTAATTATAATCTTATTCTAAAATTCTTTAAGATAATATAGTTGCAAACTCAATATCAAAACTTCATTTGTACAACCATACGTTTTAGCGACAGCTGTCTGTGAACTTCTTACTAACAGATATATCTTTCCAGCCGAGGAGAAAAGGTAATTTTTCGCTTTTTTTATCTTACTTCTTTGGAATATAGGGTAGTACTGGCATTCATTTTGAATTAAAAGCATGTTCAAAACATTTTTTAAATAGCCCCCTAAAGCAAACAAAATCGATCTATTATGTCTTTATAAAGACGTAGTAAGTCTTATAAAAGAGATGTATAAGGCGTTACTATGACATCGTAGATCTTTTCAGTTCTTTTTTAATATAAATATTTATATGTGACCAAGAGACAAGAGAAGAGGACATCGTTACAGGGACTTAACTTAATAGAGAATACACTGAATGCCAGTACCAGTCTTCCGTTCTGATTTAGAAATAAAATGTACTACAACCCTTTATGTTGTTATTCTTGCTTGAAAAAAGTAGTTTTTACTACTCAGCTTTTCACTAATACACACATGTGGACGATTTTCTCTCTTATAGAAAATGTGTATATTTACGCTGTTACAAATCGTCACAGATCAGTGAACTTGCTATTTCAGAGTGTGTAATGTATTTATATAAAATTATCTCAGAGAGACATGTAATACAATATTGCATTGCATAGTATGTGTCAAAACCTGGAAAACGTGTAAGAACGTAAGGTTACGGCGTCTTAACAAACGATTCTTAAGAATGTGTAAACACCGTGAATACATGTCCTTGTGCAACGTACCCTAGACCTGTACGAACTTCCTGGTTGGCAAACTAATGTACAGACAAGGTGTTTGACGTTGTAGCCGACCAGACATGGGATTGTACCGGTACCTACTGGTCTGCTGGTCAGTAGTGTGGACGCTGACGGTGGTTAACGCATCAGGGGAGAGCTCGTACTGTTTGTATACGTACACGTATGTAGTAATGACAACACTAAACCCTCGTATTATGTCCTATATACCATTAAGTGGCGAGTGCTACTCTGATATGATAACGTGAACGAAGATTCGTTTTAACTTTTGGTTGGTCAAATCAGGGTAAAACTTTTTTTGTATTCTGTATTTTTCATGAACATGGAATAATCAAAACAAAAATATTAGCTAAGCCGATGTAGTTTTATATGAATACAGGTAGATTAACCATGGCCTACGTGTATAAGTTTGATGTAACGCTTCGGAGCTTTTATATTGTGTTGCACATTTACACTGGTAATAACACCGGGGGCTGGATTTGGGTATGTGTGTATTTTACCTGTAAAAACAGAGTCCATACAATCACATTATTATCTATACTATAGACTATAGATGAAACGTTCGTACAAATGCATAGCTATCATATTCCCCATTCAAGCATCAGGGCCTAACACTAATGCACGTGTATCTTGATATCATTTCCGGGTATATAAGGAATATGATACTCGTTAATTCAATGTCTATACTATCATATCAGACAAAACGCCCCTCTGCCCTCACTCAGGATTGTATTTGTGTATATACTAAATTATAGTTAGTTGTGTATACTAAATTGTAGTTATTGCTGGTGATATTTTTGTCGGATGTTCCAACACTTTAAACTTTCCCATATCTCTGCGAAGTTAAAATGCTAGTACTTATTACAGCACCGTAGGCATGACGTGTGTAGTGTGTTTGATTTGATACACTAAGCACGTACATATATCAATCCCAACCTTCCCTTACAGACCCCACCCCATCCACACACACACTACATATCCTATCAGATCAACCATCCCACTTTATAGAATTACTGTGTAATTTAACACTATGTGTTGGATACAAGAACTACACGTGTATTCTCACTTATCATGCACACATTCATATACAGAAAAAGTGAAAAATGAACTTTGCATTGCGAACATTTTGTTATCTTTTCTCAAAAGAGTAACATGTGTAGATAATAAACCGAAAGGGTTCTGTTTACTACATGTATTCACCAGTTTTGAAAACAGAAGTGTCCATTCGAAACAGGTCATTGTCAGTAAAACAGATACGTGATCCAGTACTTCTTCAAAACAAAAGGTTTTTCTCCATCAAATTTACCATATTCGCGAATCCAAGATAGACTGTGTCATAAGAACAGACATTTCTGCAACAAATGCTAACACGTTTTTCTGATCTTATTTGAAAGTATGCATTTGGTATCGAACGGAAATCATTCAAAATTAATGTATTCGCATATAATATTTATTTCATTCTTTGAACTTCAAGCTGTTAAACTCTTTTCGTGGGTTCTTTTTAGAAAATTATTTTGTCACCGACAAATGCATATCTAGAGTACAAAACATTCGTTCTTCAGCAACACAACAAATATACTACCTCGGTTGTATCTCTTTAAAGTTAGGTATCATATTGTAACGTATATGTTACCTTGCCAGCCAGAGTTGCAAATCAAATTTACAGTATCTTCAATCGAAATCGTATGTTATTTGGACTTATTTTGATTAACTACTATTAATTTGATCTATATTTGAGAAGAAAATAGTCATTATGGTATGTTACATCAAAACAAGGATATAATTTGTTCTTGTAACGTATCTGTTCACACAATTTAAACAAGTACCTTTATAACAAACTTTTATATTGAAAACACAAAATATCCAGACGTAATTAAACATCAAGGTGGCTTTAACTTGTACTGCAAAAAGTTTGGCCGCTAGCGTACATGTCCCTTTTTTCAATCTTTCAAAACTTAAACAGATATGTTACCATTCCAACAGATACGTTACACATTATATTGGTCAAGTGTTACTCTCATGCTACTTAGCATTAACACTAAAACAAACTTTAAATCGATGTAATGATCATTTGTAATCAAATGTATGCACCCTTCTCAAATGTTCACATAACCAAGTTGATTTTATCCGGGAAAATAACGCACCAAAACAGAAACGTGACCAAAATGAACATATATATATATATACGTTACATGTTTTCCACGTGATGGGATCCCTTATCCTCACATATCCCACGCTTTCTTTCATAGCTTTTCACTAATTAATCCTTTAAAATCCATTTAAAGTAGTTAAATGTATTTGGACATCTACAATAACATACATTGGATTTGAAGATATTCCCCCTGAAAACTAAGTCAGCTGATGCAAGTACAGTTTGTAAAAAGGTCTAATTACATTGTTCCCATCAAAACTCCACGAAACAAAACTAGAATCTATAGTATCTTTGTTAGAAGCAACGATTATAGAACCATTTACAACGTACCTGTTTATAACGTATCTGGTCGGCAAAACTGTTAACGTCAACAAAATTAAATTCACTCGTTATTCGCTTTATTTACATATTGTACAACAATGTTATACTTTTATAGTTTGATCGTGTAAGCTATACAAAAGTTCCCACGAATACAGGTAACGTATCTGTTGAAATTTTAACGGACGAACCACGAATACCGAGTTTCATGCAGGATACGTAATATATGCTTACGGAATTAATGTCGATGGATTTATATGCAATATAAGATACCTTTAGTCAATATACAAAGATATTTTAAACGTGAATTTACCTATAATAAATGCTTATATTATGGGTGTTTTGTTTAGTATACTATAACATATCTGGCAAGACATTTTGGGACAGTAGATAATTGCCAAAAATTCTTATCTTAGCTTAAATTATTGATATTGAATTAATTAAGTTTTGTTTAGACATAAGTAAACTTAAACTATGAAGGAAAATATATGAATTTTAACTAAACTGAAAAAATAAATAAAGCTCTTTGCATCAGAAAACGTGATTTATTCGATTATTCGATTATAATTGGCATGTTCATGTACACTTATGAAAAATTTACCGAACGTTTTCATTAATTTTTTTGTTTGTTTTTGGAAAACATAATATGTTGAAACAGTGAACTATAGTTTTGATGTATAGGCTATATTTTAGATGGTGGAAGGATTACGCGACAAGATTTACGGTTAATGGCGCATGAGAAGCGAGAATAGGTGTAAAGAATTTCATGTTAGCGGACGTTTTACACACGTTAAACAGCCCAGCATTAAATGCCAGAGGAGCACGCCGACAGAACACCGACCTCCGTCAGTGAGACGAAACCCGCATGGGTGGAGTCATGTAGGCGATACACCCGTCAACCAACCAACCAACCAACCATGCCAGAGAAAGTTATCTTTAGACTTTTGGTGTACAACAACTTCTCTGTGCTCACGCTAGACCAAACAATCTTTTAGCAAATAATGATTGATTTTAGCAACTTTTACTTATTGCTTCGGACATCCAAATTAGACGATAAGTCGTCTTTTACGTGATAGTCAATACGTTGCAATAAAATGATTTAAAGGAATGTCATTCTTGTTTCAGCATTATAAAATAGGACACCTTTATGTAATGGCTTTAATCATTCTGAGGTTTAGACTGCATGTTATCAGACTAAATTAAGGAAAGTCGGATCAATGTTTCATAGTTTACAGCTACATGTATATTAGAATCAGACGTGAGGAAGTGAGCAAAATGTCAGATGGATATAAACTTTATTTATTTTACAACACTTATAAAACAAGTTATTTCAACTTATATGAATCACTCTTGTTGGCCCGAATGTTAGAGCGTGGGGAGTCTTAGTGTGGGAGGAAACTGGAGTACCCGGAGAAAATCCAAGTGATCGGGCAGGTGACCCCGTATCTTTTCACGTCCGATCGGGGAATCGAACCCCGGCCGCCTTGGTGAAAGGCAAGTGCGCTATCCACTGCACCACCCTCACATGGATATTGTATTCAATAAAACAGTTTCAAATTCCAATTCTCAAATTTTCATACCTTCTTTAAGTGTTTTCATTATGTCCTAGTAAACCAAAATCAAAGGTAAAACAAAATTGTGTATCAATGCACTAGTAAAAAAATAAATAAAAACTGACTAGTAAAAATAGAAATAGAAAAAAATCCTGTTTTTAACCACAAACTTTACGTTCTCCTTGACAGTGTTCCTATTTATAATCTGCAGTCGTTAGTATAATGAAGGACACAAAGTCATAACATTATTTGGCTTGTAGAACTATTTACAAAAACACATATTTTTCATTTTAAATGGGGTAAATAATTGCCATTTCCAATATGAATTAGTATTCAATTATTGATGGGGAACAGATGGAAATGAGTTGAGACTGATCTTCTTTTAGAAATCGCCATCTGGTCATGAAAACCTTGTCAAATCATTTCTGTTTAATACCAGCATTCACGCAATGTATAAAATTACGGCTGGTGGTAGACTCGTGAGCCGTATGTGGTGCTTTGTTGCTTTTTTAATACCGAAATTGGTTAGTATGATATTTTAATTGATATGACAACAGGAATTCCAGCGGACGGTGCATGACACACTATTTATATCCTATATTCGTCCGGACTTAACAATCGGGAACGTTCATAGTGTCGTTTTAATACGACTAAGACCGGGACAAGTATAATCAAGATAGTCCTAAGTTGCAACATCTCAATAACTTGTTTATTAGTGGTCATTTAATCAAGTATCTCGAGTGGCTGCCACCATGCCGACATTTGCTCGTTAGGCCTACAGTTATGCAGTCTTGTCTACAGTACAAATATGAGATAAAATACCTTTTGAATAAAGTTATTCCCTTGAAGAGTGATGAAATTCAATAAATAAACAATGTCCTTGTTGGCTACGACCCTAACATGACCTGTCACGGGAATGTCTTTTGAATGACGGATGAAACCATTCAACTTCCACTTTCGTTTCTAAGCGATTCGGTTGTCTCGGTTACATATATGATTGAATCGGAAAGGGCTATTCTTATTAGTAAGTCAAGCGTTTTGCTGACTGAGTCAATAATCACATTCTGGTCGCGATGCTGATTGTGTTCATTTTCTGTCGATATCGATGTTATAAGACGACGCAGATGCACAATGTGTAGTGAATAATCAACGGCAAAAGGCTTTCGCAAATATAGCGAAAGGGGTTTATTTTATTTTCGCAAATAAGGATTTCATTTCGTTAATAACAAAAAAGCGAATGGCTAGCGTGAGCACAGCTTATGATTCTAGGAAGTTATTGGACACCTGAGCTCCGCCTCTAAGCTGGGTTTTAGGATTTATTGCACATACAATTTCGAAGAAAAGTAAGGCAGATCATGATACATAGAGGTTCCCCAACGAGTGATGGTTGGTAATCATGTTTATCTAACTCGAGTGTGTACATTTTCAAATTGTATAAAGACCCAAGGTTTACCGAGTGTCTTTTACAGGTTGGAAATAAAATAACGAGAGTGAGATAAACATGATAACCTATCATCACGAGTTTGGTGTCCTTCTTCTCCCATAACGTTCATATTTTATATGGAAAGCCATATGTTTCGTTTGAAAATACACTTTGTCGGCTTCCGATGGAGGGGAAACAATTGCGTGAGTCATGACGTCACAATGGAAGATGACGTCCCAAAGCATTGTTACGTGACGTTATAAGGAAACTATAGACCAATGAAATCACACCCAGAGTGTAACCCACTAGTGGGTAACCAAAAATGTTCACCAACTCCTAGCAGGTTTATCGTATGGGTCAGGAGTGAGGAAACATATAGTGGTTGTGGAAGAAAAGACGGGGAAGTAAATCATTGGTTTCCTTTCACGTCGACGACAACACTGGCGCTGAACCTTACTCATTTCGGTATATTTTACTTCGCTATTGTGAAACATCATTAATCTTGGGAAAACGAAACATTGTGCTCTCCACCACAAGGGCAATAGATGGAGGATATTTAATGATTTCATCTTGAATACTATATCCATATATTTTTCCCGAGCGCGAAGCACGAATACAAATATCGGTATATTCTGCTATAACTTTCTCAGGTAAATATACAGATATGTATCCATAAATTCACTTCAACAAAAGTCCATAATTTTATGAAATATAGCCGTTGTATCCAAATTGTGAAATCGCAAGACTTTATTTCTTTTGGACATAGACAGTACAAAGTTCATCAGCTGCCCCCCATCCAAAACCTAGGACCATTATACTTTCCTACCATCTTACCTGTATTCATTCTATACGCCGATGTCTCCTTGTCTATCCTTTTTTTCCCCGAAGTCAGAATAATGCTACCTGTCTGATGTTATGTTACCGTGTCAAGGTTATAATATTTCAGTGAAATGACACTTTAAAATGACCTTTAAGTGACCCAATCGAACACTGTCTTCATATGACCGTAGTTGTAAGAAGGACTGGAACCCCTAACCAAACCAAACCAAGCCATGATGCTACAACTGTAGTTAATTTGTTTTTATTGAATGAAAACGACCCTAGCTTATACCTGTATACATCCTCCCCAAACCAGAGAAGAGTCATCTACATTGTAGTAAGTAGTAAATACTAGATAGCCGCATTGTATCTAATGTGTAATGAATTGTGGTGAACATTTCACATTCCATCTGTGCACGAAGGGACTATTTCTCTCTCTAACGATTGCTTGGATTTCTCACCTTATGTTGAAGTAAAAACCACACAAAATATTTATTTGAATCTCATATCAATGCAGTCGATTGCATGCATACTAGACTTAACATATAGTAAAAATGGATTTGACATATTTCATAACAATACCAACACAAATCATCCTTATGTTCTCTTTCAGTTAACATCGCCTCTGGTAAAGCCACTAACCAAAGTTCTGTCCTCCATAACTGGGACAGCTCTAAAGCCGTAGACGGATGCGTCCTAACAAATATGCAATCCAACTGCTGTACACACACGGCGGCGAAACTTACCGAGGTCTGGTGGCAAGTAGATCTACAGACACAATCCGTCATAGAATCCGTGAATATCATATATAGAGGTAAGGTTCTGTGGACGGTAACTTGGTTATGTCCTATCAATCAACAACTCGCTTTTTATTTATGCAAGTACCACCTTAGGAAGTACAATGATTGTTTTTAATACATTTATAAAATATCAAAGTAGATGAATAATTCTTTTTGTCATCAGAAGTGTATTCTCTTAAAGATTATCATCAAATCCAACACAATTAATCACGAAAGGTTACCTTAAATCAGCAATAAGATTGTTTTTGTTTTTAATTTCGACACCCCTATCGATATGACCGTGACTTTTTTTCTTTTACATTTACTGTCTACAAGACACCCATTTCACAGAGGATAAAGAAGAATTTATAAGAAATGAATGGGGCTACTCTTGCTTTTTTAATTCTTTCAGGTCAAATGCTAGGGGAGTTGCCATTTTGTTAAATAACAATTTTGAAGTCAAGGTGTTGAATGAGAAAAAAGATAGGTCTGGGAATTTTTTAGCATTAAATATGGAAATTGAAGGTAAAATTATAACAGTTATAACTATTTATGGTCCAAATATCGACCACCCTACTTTTTTCAATCTCATTGAAGATACATTAGTTGAGTTTAAGTCTGAAACGTGTATAATATGTGGGGATTTCAATCCAATCCTTAAGCCTGAGTTGGATTATGATAAAACATACAAAAAGATAAACAATCCTAAGTCCAGGGAAAAAGTACTAGAGATTGTGGAAAATTTTGATTTGATTGATGTTTTTAGAGAGCAACATTCTGACTACAGAAGGTATCATGGAGGCGGGGCAACCCTGTGAAACAGACTCGCTTAGATTCTTTTTTAGTATCTGGAAGCCCCTTACCTAGTACTTCTGAAACAAGCATAGAGCCTGGCTATAGATCTGATCATTCTTTTCCGAAAATGACCTTAAAATTAACTGATTTCAAAAAAGGTAAAGGGCTATGGAAATTCAACAATTCCTTATTACAAGACCAGGATTATATAAATCTTATTAATAATACAATTACAAACATTAAACTGCAATACTGCCTCCCTGAATATCAACCTGATTATGTAAACAAATCTCGAAATGGTGATTTAGAAATGGAATTAAGGGGTAAAACCATTTCGTATTCTTCATATAAAAAAAACCCCAACAGAACTTAAAAGGAAGATTGTGTTCAGAAAGCAAATAGATCTCTTGAAGATCAAAGTAATGTAAACATAGACGAACTTAATAAAAAGAAAAAAGGAATTGGAAGATATAAGACTACATAAGATTAAGGGAAGTATAATTGGGATCACGATAGATTTTTTAAAGTGTTTTTGTAAAGATTTGGGGAACTTTGTTGTTAGGTCTATCAATTATGGATTTATGATCAATCAATTATCTGTTACACAGAGGCAAGGTATACTTACATGTTTGCCTAAGGGTGTTAAACCCTGACACTTTATTAAGAACTGGCGACTTATTTCTCTTTTAAATACTATATACATAATAGCCTCAGGATCTAAAGCTTATAAAATAAAACCTTTTTTGGGAAAATTAATTTACCTCGATCAGACCGGATTTTTATCAGGAAGAATACCAGACTCATTTACGACATTGTGCCATATACTAAAGAAATTAATATTCCTGGCATGCTATTAATGATTGTTTTTGAAAAAGCTTTCGATTCTGTTTCTTGGAAATTTATTGATGAAGTTCTCAGGTTTTTTAAATTTGGAAATGATATGAGGAAATGGATAAAAATTTACCTAGAAAAGCCAGTTCTGCTATAAATCAGGGGGAAATTTGTCTGTTTTTTCGAGATTAAACGTGGTTGTCGTCAAGGGGACCCAATCGCACCATATTTATTTATACTCTGTGCAGAAATTTTAGCTATTAGAATTAAAAATAACAGAAGTATAAATGGCACAAATGTTAATAATTGACCAATCCTTCTTTCGCAATATGCAGATGCTACTTCCCTTGGACAGAATGCTCTCTCAGGGAATCTATTAAGGAACTAAATGTATATTTCAGGTCATCAATCAACTTGGATAAAACACAGATTTTATGGATAGGGAGTAAAAAATATAGCGAGGACGTTCATTTACCTGAACTGAACTTAAACTTGGGGGGGGGGGGGGGGTTTCAATCTTTTAGGATTATAATTCCATGTAGACCTTTTTAAAATAGCTAAACTGAACTACGATAAAAAAAAAACACCTTGTTAAACTCAAATCTGTTATCAAGTGCTGGAGCCATAGATCTTTTACTCCTTTAGGAAGAATTAATATAATAATAAAATCTTTACTTATCCCACAGTTTAATCATCTTTTTGTTGCGTTACCCAATCATGATGTTGTTTTTATGAAAAAAACTTAACTCAGTCCTTTTCAACTTCTTATGAAATAGTAAGACAGATAGAGTTAAGAGAGAGGTAATTATACAAACTTACATTGAAGGAGGTCTATAAATGGTTCATGTGAAGAAATATATAAAAGCTATTAAGCTAGGGTGGATCAGGAGAATCTTAAGCTCACTTGGTAAATGGCTAGGAATTCTGAAAAAAAATGTGGACGTTCAGCTTTTATCTAAATGTGGGAATGATTATCTACACGTAGCGAAAACTAAATATAAAAACAAATCTGGGAAGATGTATTGCAGGCTTGGTATAATCTTAGAGTTAAAGAAGAACTTGTTAGATATATTTATGATGATGAGGAGTTGATACTTAAAACTCCATAATGGTTTAAAAAAGATGTTGTTGTTAAAAACCAACCAATTTTCTACAAAAAAATGGTTTGATGCAGGAATCAGTATAGTGAATGATTTAATAAAAGACAATAGGACTTTTTCCTTTGATAATTTTAATAAATTCTGTACCGTGTTTGTTACAATAACAAATTATTTACAGTAATATGGAGTAATCCAAAGTATTAAGAAATAATCGAGGCCTTTTACATCTCCAAGTAGAACATTGGCGTTTCCGATTATTCCTCTTAATCTTGAGCTAATCTTAAAGAAAAAAAAGGGTCGCGGGACTTCCACCTTTTACTCCTGAGAAATAATATTAATATAACTGGTCAGCAAAAATAGAGAAAGGGAGACAATCGTGCATATGTTCGGGGAATGTGAGGAGGTGCAGAATTTTCTGACAAGTTTTGAAAGGTTGTTAAATGCACTAACAATTACATTACCTATTAATAAAGAAACATTGTTATTTGGTTTGGTAAATAATCGCATTGATACTGAGGTTCTTCTTCTGATAAAAATCCTATATCTACAGAACCAGAACTATACATGGTACTCTCTCTGTTATGGCTCTAGCTAATGTAATACAAGAAAACTATGTGCCTAAAAAAAATAATGTGGTTCAAAAATGTGTATCATATGGTAAAAGTGATCCTTGTCTACAATTTTTTTCTAAATGAATGGAAGAAATGCATGAAATTAGTTGATTTTGCCTAAAACCTGACATGATTTAGGATGATATCTTAATTATTCAGTAACAATTCTGTTACTTAACTTTAATTAGTACCTAGCTCTGTTTTGACTTCCTTCTCTGACATGCTTGTTCTGATATCTGTCTTTATCTTTTCTTTTCTTCTTTCTCATTTCTGTTCTCTTATCAGTTTCTTTTTCTTTCCTTTTATCCTTTCTTCTTTCTTATAGCAATACGGTGTGATATTAAATGAAATAATACCTATCCATATGCAGTCTTTAGTGTTACAAATTTATTTTTGTATAATTTGTATGGTATGAGTGGAGATATGAAAGATGAATGGTGACAAATAGCTTATAATATGATCTGAATGAATTACCGATCCAGTATCATTGTCACTGTTTTGAAAAAAAACTCTTTTGAAAATAAAAATATATAAAAAAACACGTGACTTTTGATAGAGTGTACTTTGACAGATGTAGACATTTATATAAATCAGAAGTATCAAAGTGTAAATACTGACCTCATGAGAGCTAATTTTTATAGATGTATATCTACATTAAATATTGGACAAAAGACAAACATATGTCACTGTTAAACATAATTTACTTTTAAGATTATAAGTTTATCACAAGCTGCCATGCGGTTTACAGGAATTGCACAATCAGGTTATAGTTGTAGGTACCGTGTCGCTAACTTTTGCTTATTTTTCGTATCAGCAGGATATAACTTGCATTTTATATTTTTCATACATAGCAAACGTTATTAAGTTTCCGTTTATACCACACTCAGTGTGTGCAACGTGTAAAAGGTATGAAAAAAAGGAATTAAATTATACTTTCTTACGTGCCGTAAAGAATTCGATGTTAAGCATGTCCCGAAGGGCCCCTTTGAAATGACGATTTTTCCTGTCAAATTTTGTCACGCTTCTGCTATAACGATCTTTCTTTTCTTAATACTACACCATTACAGAATCATAAAGTCGTTAGAATACTGAGTGACGTAATAGATCTATATGTTAAATCCCAAATTCTGCTCTGTTTGTGGCAAAATGAAGTGAATGAAAGATTATAGAAACACTACCATAAATGAAAATGTCGTTTATTCACTCTAAACGACGTCAACATTTAACAGCAAATTATCAATGGTTGCATCACCCCGAGGCCGATTACCCCAAGAGTGAATTACCATAATACTCATAGGTATGGGTCATTTAACACCCTGAGGCCAATAACACCAAAAGTGAGTTACCATTACAATCATAGATATTGGTCATAGAAAGATTCATATTGAATAATTCTGATTTGCCATAAAGGTAGGGTTCTAAGCCGCCTTCTAAAATCAAATAAAATACAAGTAACAAGAAGACTACAGAATCAAGTGCAACTGAAAACATCAAGAGACTAATTATCCAAAAGATGAAAACACATTACAAACAGAATTTGTAGTATGATACACAGAACTAGCAAAAGTAAATTTGAGTGTATTAACAAAGACCTGGAAACCAATTATTCCAAAATTCCTGCCAAACATTATTACACAAGGTACTGGTTACATTAGTTTTAAATAAATCTCGAAAGAATACAAAGAAAAAACAATCTCA